TAATTTTTGACTTTACCAATCGAAAGAGGGGGTCAAATTTATTGGAAAAGCATTTTTGTGATTTTTCTTTACGGGGTTTAAGAGCCTGTAAAAAATTAATACTGATTTTTGCAGTTTTTGGCCCTAAAAATATTTGATTATCCAACATTGCTTTACAAAATCGCTCATTTCTCAACTAATATTTCACAAATTCTAATGCAAATTTATATATTCTTAATTAGAATTAAATGCTCTTTAAGATAAAACATAATTGAATCCTGTATCTCTAATAGTTTTTGAGATATTGAGCTTCAAAGTTGAAACTTGGTCTCAAATTTTGAAAAACCTTCAAAGCCGATTATCTTGAAAACGAAGCCCTTGGGCTTGGAGTCTCAAATAACCTTTTTTGAAGCCCCAATTAAGATCTACAAGTAGACAAAATTTCGTACCGATAGCTTTCCTGGTTTCCAAAATACGGCCCTTTTAAATATTTGAAAATGAAATTTCCTTGCATACCCCTTAGAAAAATTGGAATTTTTATTTTTCGAGATTTTCTAATTTTTGACTTTACCAATCGAAAGAGGGGGTCAAATTTATTGGAAAAGCATTTTTGTGATTTTTCTTTACGGGGTTTAAGAGCCTGTAAAAAATTAATACTGATTTTTGCAGTTTTTGGCCCTAAAAATATTTGATTATCCAACATTGCTTTACAAAATCGCTCATTTCTCAACTAATATTTCACAAATTCTAATGCAAATTTATATATTCTTAATTAGAATTAAATGCTCTTTAAGATAAAACATAATTGAATCCTGTATCTCTAACAGTTTTTGAGATATTGAGCTTCAAAGTTGAAACTTGGTCTCAAATTTTGAAAAACCTTCAAAGCCGATTATCTTGAAAACGAAGCCCTTGGGCTTGGAGTCTCAAATAACCTTTTTTGAAGCCCCAATTAAGATCTACAAGTAGACAAAATTTCGTACCGATAGCTTTCCTGGTTTCCAAAATACGGCCCTTTTAAATATTTGAAAATGAAATTTCCTTGCATACCCCTTAGAAAAATTGGAATTTTTATTTTTCGAGATTTTCTAATTTTTGACTTTACCAATCGAAAGAGGGGGTCAAATTTATTGGAAAAGCATTTTTGTGATTTTTCTTTACGGGGTTTAAGAGCCTGTAAAAAATTAATACTGATTTTTGCAGTTTTTGGCCCTGAAAATATTTGATTATCCAACATTGCTTCACAAAATCGCCCATTTCTCAACTAATATTCTACAAATTCTAATGCAAATTTATATATTCTTAATCAGAATTAAATGCTCTTTAAGATAAAATATAATTGAATCCTGTATCTCTAATAGTTTTTGAGATATTGAGCTTCAAAGTTGAAACTTTGTCTCAAATTTTGAAAAACCTTCAAAGCCGATTATCTTGAAAACGAAGCCCTTGGGCTTGGAGTCTCAAATAACCTTTTTTGAAGCCCCAATTAAGATCTACAAGTAGACAAAATTTCGTACCGATAGCTTTCCTGGTTTCCAAAATACGGCCCTTTTAAATATTTGAAAATGAAATTTCCTTGCATACCCCTGAGAAAAATTGGAATTTTTATTTTTCGAGATTTTCTAATTTTTGACTTTACCAATCGAAAGAGGGGGTCAAATTTATTGGAAAAGCATTTTTGTGATTTTTCTTTACGGGGTTTAAGAGCCTGTAAAAAATTAATACTGATTTTTGCAGTTTTTGGCCCTAAAAATATTTGATTATCCAACATTGCTTTACAAAATCGCTCATTTCTCAACTAATATTTCACAAATTCTAATGCAAATTTATATATTCTTAATTAGAATTAAATGCTCTTTAAGATAAAACATAATTGAATCCTGTATCTCTAATAGTTTTTGAGATATTGAGCTTCAAAGTTGAAACTTGGTCTCAAATTTTGAAAAACCTTCAAAGCCGATTATCTTGAAAACGAAGCCCTTGGGCTTGGAGTCTCAAATAACCTTTTTTGAAGCCCCAATTAAGATCTACAAGTAGACAAAATTTCGTACCGATAGCTTTCCTGGTTTCCAAAATACGGCCCTTTTAAATATTTGAAAATGAAATTTCCTTGCATACCCCTTAGAAAAATTGGAATTTTTATTTTTCGAGATTTTCTAATTTTTGACTTTACCAATCGAAAGAGGGGGTCAAATTTATTGGAAAAGCATTTTTGTGATTTTTCTTTACGGGGTTTAAGAGCCTGTAAAAAATTAATACTGATTTTTGCAGTTTTTGGCCCTGAAAATATTTGATTATCCAACATTGCTTCACAAAATCGCCCATTTCTCAACTAATATTCTACAAATTCTAATGCAAATTTATATATTCTTAATCAGAATTAAATGCTCTTTAAGATAAAACATAATTGAATCCTGTATCTCTAATAGTTTTTGAGATATTGAGCTTCAAAGTTGAAACTTTGTCTCAAATTTTGAAAAACCTTCAAAGCCGATTATCTTGAAAACGATGCCCTTGGGCTTGGAGTCTCAAATAACCTTTTTTGAAGCCCCAATCAAGATCTACAAGTAGACAAAATTTCGTACCGATAGCTTTCCTGGTTTCCAAAATACGGCCCTTTTAAATATTTGAAAATGAAATTTCCTTGCATACCCCTTAGAAAAATTGGAATTTTTATTTTTCGAGATTTTCTAATTTTTGACTTTACCAATCGAAAGAGGGGGTCAAATTTATTGGAAAAGCATTTTTGTGATTTTTCTTTACGGGGTTTGAGCCTGTAAAAAATTAATACTGATTTTTGCAGTTTTTGGCCCTGAAAATATTTGATTATCCAACTTTGCTTCACAAAATCGCCCATTTCTCAACTAATATTCTACAAATTCTAATGCAAATTTATATATTCTTAATCAGAATTAAATGCTCTTTAAGATAAAACATAATTGAATCCTGTAGCTCTAATAGTTTTTGAGATATTGAGCTTCAAAGTTGAAACTTTGTCTCAAATTTTGAAAAACCTTCAAAGCCGATTATCTTGAAAACGAAGCCCTTGGGCTTGGAGTCTCAAATAACCTTTTTTGAAGCCCCAATCAAGATCTACAAGTAGACAAAATTTTGTACCGATAACTCTCCTGGTTTCCAAAATACGGCCCTTTTAAATATTTGAAAATGAAATTTCCTTGCATACCCCTTAGAAAAATTGGAATTTTTATTTTTCGAGATTTTCTAATTTCTGACTTTACCAATCGAAAGAGGGGGTCAAATTTATTGGAAAAGCATTTTTGGGATTTTTCTTTACGGGGTTTAAGAGCCTGTAAAAAATTAATACTGATTTTTGCAGTTTTTGGCCCTGAAAATATTTGATTATCCAACATTGCTTTACAAAATCGCTCATTTCTCAACTAATATTCTACAAATTCTAATGCAAATTTATATATTCTTAATCAGAATTAAATGCTCTTTAAGATAAAACATAATTGAATTCTGTAGCTCTAATAGTTTTTGAGATATTGAGCTTCAAAGTTGAAACTTTGTCTCAAATTTTGAAAAACCTTCAAAGCCGATTATCTTGAAAACGAAGCCCTTCGGCTTGGAGTCTCAAATAAACTTTTTTGAAGCCCCAATTGAGATCTACATTTAGACAAAATTTAGTACCGATAGCTTTCCTGGTTTCCAAAATACGGCACTTTTAAATATTTGAAAATGAAATTTCCTTGCATACCCCTTAGAAAAATTGGAATTTTTATTTTTCGAGATTTTCTAATTTTTGACTTTACCAATCGAAAGAGGGGGTCAAATTTATTGGAAGAGCATTTTTGTGATTTTTCTTTACGGGGTTTAAGAGCCTGTAAAGAATTAATACTCATTTTTGCAGTTTTTGGCCCTGAAAATATTTGATTATCCAACATTGCTTCACAAAATCGCCCATTTCTCAACTAATATTCTACAAATTCTAATGCAAATTTATATATTCTTAATCAGAATTTTAAGATAAAACAAAATTGAGATCAGCTATCTCAAATAGTTTCCGAGATATTGAGTCTCAAAGTTGAAACTTTGTCTCAAATTTCGGAAAACCTTCAAAGCCAATTATCTCGAAAACGAAGCCCTTGGGCTCGGTGTCTCAAATAACCTTTTTTGAAGCCCCAATCGAGATCTACAAGTAGACAAAATTTTGTCTCAATATATTTTCTGGTTCCCAAAATATGGTCCTTTGAAATATTTGAAAATCATATTTCCTTGCATACCCCTTAGAAAAATTGAAATTTTGATTTTTCAAAATTTTTCAATTTTTGACTTTACCAATCGAAAGAGGGGGTCAAATTTAGTGGAAAAGCATTTTCGTTATTTTTATTTTTGAGGTTTTAGGGCCTGTAAAAAATTAAAAATAATTTTTGCAGATTTTTTTTACATTGCCTCACAAAATCGCCCATAACTCAATTATTATTTCACAAATTCTGATAAAAATTTATATATTCTTAATCAAAATCAAGCGCTCTTTAAGACAAAACAAAATTGAATCCTGTATCTCAAATATTTTTCGAGATTTTAAGCCTCAAAGTTGAAACTTTGAAACTCTAATTACGTAAATTTGAGGTCAAATCTATTGAAAAATGAAAACTTCCGATAAAACAATTCATTTTCAATAGAAAATTCAAGCAAAACAAGGTCATCATTTCGCCGTCTTTATATATTGGAATTTCGACCTCACAAACACCTTGTTGACAAACCTGACTATAATTAACGATTCCTGTTTTTAAACAATTATTTACGATGGTACTATTTGGTACCTGCATACAAAACTTCCAATATAAAAATTTATAATTAACAATTTTTTTTGCAATATAGGTAGGTACTACTACTCACAAAAGCCGTAAATGCAGAAAACTTCTCGATTTTATTAAAAACATATTCGGGCAAGCTCACTTTAGGAATCTCGACATTATTCAAATTAGGATTAGTTAAAATGCCATTATTAAAATTAGTACCGAAACACCGACAATGGTACTGTTTGAATCTTGTACCGACAAAAATTCTTTTCACGCCCGACATTATATTAAAGCCTCATATGCGTGTAGGAGGCGGTACTACTTAAACTGTGCCGAGACTTGAAAAGTTGGTACTAACGTGTGTGTGTCTGTGATAACGGAACTCGAAACTGCGGTCGCGCTTTATAGGCTTGGGGCAAAGGTGGTACCGATGACTATTTATAAATCGGAGACGAGTTTAAATTTTTTGTCCAATGTTTGCTGTAAAAGGGCCTCAAAAATTATAATTAAAAAAAAAAAACGATTAGTAGGTACTTTCATATTTGTGTAGTTTTAAGTAGTACCTAGGCTCTTTTGGGTCTTGGACTATAATATTTTCTATTAGATGATTATTTTAACAATGTGATTATCTAAAGTCAAAGTCCAAATACTATAGTAGTTTTAAAAATAAATTAGAACATCCTTTTTCGCTATTATTGGTTTATAAAACAAATTATTGGGCAATAGTTTTGTGATAATAATTAAAAAAATTGGTTGATTTTAATAAAATGATCATAATGCATAATAATTATTCAATGCCTAATATAAGCTGTATCGATTATTGTCGATACAATATGGCTCCCCATCTCTACTATCGATATGAAACAATATTCGATTTACCGGCGCCCATTCCTATTATTTTTGACAACTGGACGAAAAAGTGAGGTTATGTATGTTTATTGTTTACTTTTTCATAATTAATTATTTAAATAACTTTGAGTGGGTTTAATTCTTTTATAAATAATTGACACGTACTTAAAATTATGTAAAAATGATTCCTCGAATATCTTGGAGGGAACTTTTCCCTTCAAAATTCAGTCAAATTGTATTTGTACTTTATGTATTGTTGTTTGTTAATCAAGGTAAGTACAAATATATAGAGGGGTTTTTCATCTGTATAAATCACTGGTTAATATAGTTAATACCAGGTAAATACTATGCAATACCTACTTGTTAATTATGTAGGTAATACATGTCAATACTTGTAGATATCTATAGGCAATATATGTTAATATCGTTGGTTGATACCCATTAATAACATGTAAATACCTGTGGATATGTCAATACCTAGAATTCTGGCTTTTATTTTAGTCTGTCAATAGCATGGCAATACCTGGTAATATGTGATAATGCTATGTGGCAATATTTTGTTAATACATGGAATAACTTGTTATTAGGTACATATAGAAATACCTGTTTATGCATGGAAATATCTCAGTTAGTATACAAATTTTCTTAGGTGAAAAATCCCTTATTTGGTACAAATACAACAATACAACTAACCAAAGAATTCTTTAATAGGCATTTTAGTAACAGCCTCCCAACAGTCAGACAACAAATACAACTACAACATTGTCACTGTAGTATTAATGACTGAATTATTAAAACTAGTCTTATCCACTTTGCTTTATTGTAGAGAGTAAGTTAAAATAATATTTAAAATTACAAATTATTAAATTACAATTTACTTACAGACAAAGTCCTGCTCAATTAGTAAGAGAAATTGTAATTAATAGGAAAGTGCTGGCATTGTATTTTGTGCCAGCTTTCTTGTATTGCCTCTACAATAATTTGGCCTTTGTTAATTTGTCAAATTTCGATCCTACTACGTATTATTTGGTGATGCAACTTAGGGTTGTAGTTACTGGAATATTGTTTCAAGTGAGTATCAATGGGAGGGAGTCATAATTTGATTATTACCGGCTCTTGATTTGATTTTTGATTGAATAATTTGTACTTCATTAATAGTCACTTAATTGTAGTGAGTTTTAAGTATTTTTAATTGAAATTTCAGTATGGTATGATAAGCTCCTGACTTTCCTCTTTTTCCCTTCAAAGTTTCATAATTTTTCCTTTAGTAGTTTTCCAGAAAAAATTGCAAATGTATGAGGGTGCATTTTTGCTTAATTAAGTAGATTTTCATTAATTTCTCATGGTGTTATTTTTCACTGGAGAAGTTTGAAATTTTAATATGATGAGCTCCTAACTTTCCTCTTTTTCTCCTGAAAGATTCACAATTTTCCCTTCAGTAGTTTTCTAGAAAAAAATTTAAATGTATGAGGGTGCATTTTTGCTTAATTTGGATTTGGTAAGTTGATTTTCATTAATTTCCGATGGTGTTATTTTTCATTGAAAAAGTTTGAAATTTTAGTATGATGAACTCCTAACTTTCCTCTTTTTCTCCTCAAAGTTTCACAATTCTCCCTTTAGTAATTTTCCTGAAAAAAAATCAAATGTAAGAGGATTCATTTTTGAATAATTTGAATTTTGCAAGTGGATTTTCATTAATTTCCCATGGTGTTATTTTCTACTGGAGAAGTTTGAAATTTTAGTAGGATGAACTCCTTACTTTCCTCTTTTCCTCCTGAAAGTTTCATAATTTTTCCTTCAGTTGGTTTTCAGAAAAAAATTGTAATGTATGAAGGTACATTTCTGGTTAATTTAGATTTTACAAGTTAATTTTCATCAATTTCCCATTTGGGTATTTTTCACTGGCAAAGTTTGAAATTTTAGTATGATGGACTCTTACCTTTCCTCTTTTTCTGCTAAAAGATTCACAATTTTCCCTTTACTAGTTTTCCAGGAAAAAAATCCAATATATGAGGGTCAAGGGGTAAACCACCTAGGAATTCTTTGCCAAAAATGTGGGGAATTTAGAGGAATTTGTAGGAACTTTAGAGGAATTTGTGAGGAATTTGAAGGAAATCATCCGAATTTATGAGAATTTGGGAAATTTATAGGGAATTTGGAGGAATTTATGGGGAATTTGGGAGAGTTTGTGAGAAATTTATGAGGAATTTAAAGGAAATTGTCAAATAAATACCTACAGTTTTTGTAGGCTGATTTTCAAAATTTTTCATGTTGTTATTTTTCACTGAAAAAATTTGAAATTTTGGGAAAATGAGCTTCTTACCTTCCTCTTTACATGCAAAAAGTTTTGAAAATTTTCCCTCCTCTAGTTTTCCAGGAAATCTTTGAAATGTGTGAAACTGTATTTTCAATTAATTCAGTTATTGTAGGTTGATTTTCAAGATTCCTCATGTTGTAATTTTCTACTGGAAGAATTTGAAATTCTGGGGAAATGAGCTTCTCACCTTCCTCTTTAAATACAAAAAGTTTCAAAATTTTCCCTTCTCTAGTTTTCCAGGAAAACTTTGAAATGTGTGAGACTGTATTTTCAATTAATTCAGTTATTGTAGGTTGATTTCCAAGATTTTTCATGTTGCTGTTTTCCTCTGGAAAAATTAAAAATTTTGGGAAAATAAGCTTCTTACCCTCTTCCTTACATGCAAAAAGTTTCAAAATTTTCCTATCTCTAGTTTTCCAGGAAAGCTTTGAAATGTGTGAGACTGAATTTTCAACGTATTCAATTTTTGTAGGTTGATTTCCAAGATTTTTCATGTTGTTATTTTTCACTAAAAAAATTTGAAACTTTGGGAAAATGAGTTTCTCACCTTCCTCTTTACATGCAAAAAGTTTCAAAATTTTCCCTTCACTAGTTTTCCAGGAAAACTTTGAAATATGTGAGACTGTATTTTCAATTAATTCAGTTATTGTAGGTTGATTTCCAAGATTTTTCATGTTGTTATTTTCCATTGGAAAAATTTGAAATTTTGGGAAAATGACCTTATTCTCACCTTCCTCTTTACATGCAAAAAGTGTCAAATTTCTTTCTTCACTAGTTTTCCAGGAAAACTTTGAAATGTGTGAGACTGTATTTTCAACTAATTCAGTCTTTGTAGGTTGATTTCCAAGATTTTTCATGTTGCTGTTTTCCACTGGAAAAATTTGAAATTTTGGGAAAATGAGCTTCTCACCTTCCTCTTTACATACAAAAAGTTTCAAAATTTTTCCTTTTTTTAGAGGACTTTGTGGGGTATTTGGAGAAGTTTGTGGTGTGGTATTTGGAGGAATTTTCCCTCCAGTAGTTTTTTAGTAGAAAAGTCAATTAACAATCACTTAATTACTCTGAGCTTCCAGTATTTGTTACCTCAAATCCCTTGAAATAAGTCCTCAAAATCCCAACTTTGCCTCCTAATTTTTGATTTAGAAAATTGATATTGTTGAATTTTCATTTGAAAAAACATCATCACTCCTCTAATCTAATAATAACTCTAATTTCCAAATACTTAACACAGAGAGCTACAAAACTTGACTTTTGCAGTTACATAACTCCAATTATTCAGCTAAAACTCTGTATATATTGCTGACTTTAATCCAACTTCTACTACAAAACCAATCAAGAGCCGATAATAAACATATCATTAATCAAACCATTGATTTTTAGCTAATTTTCAACAAACTCCTCAGCAAAAAGCAATGGCTCTCTCTAATAATCCTGACAATAGGCTGCATGCTAAAGCAAATCCCCATGAACCAACCTCAAGAAGAAACAACCACCAAATCCCAATCTTTAGCCTTAAGTTTAGGAACTGTATTAATATTTATACAAATTGTTTGTTCTTGTTTTGCTGGTGTATATAATGAGTATTTGTTAAAGAATCAAGGCAACGATGTTAATATTTTCGTGCAAAATGTTTTTATGTATTTGGATTCGATTATTTGCAATGTTGCCTTGTTGTCGGTGAATGGGTCAATTGCTACTGCGTTTTTGTATGATAATTTAGTGAAAGTTTTGCATTATAAGGTACTTTTAGTGATGCTTAATAATGCTATAGTAGGTATTGTTACCAGTTTGTTTTTGAAAACTTTAAATTCTATATTGAAAACTTTTGCAAGTGCGTTGGAATTGATTTTGACTGCAGTATTATCACTTGTATTATTTGGAATTCCTATTTATTTGAATACTATTTTGAGTATTTGTACTGTAATGTATGCTATTTATTTGTATTCGCAAAATCCTGTTAATAATAAAAGTGATAGGGGTGGAGACGAGGAGGAAGAGCAAATGTTACAAATGGAAAAAGTTTGATGAATAAATAATACTGTGATCATACATAAGTAATTAAAAAATGGTTTTATTAACAAAACAAAAAAATATATATCACAATTAATACTAAAATAACAATAACTGGCAAGTACATATATTGTCTATTCACAATCTGTAGTCCAAAGGTACAGGTAAAATGTATCACCTTTCAATGCTCTTTGATAGGGAAAGGTGATACATTTACCTGTACATTTGCATTTGGACTACATATTGTGAATAGGATACATAAATAAATTTAAAAATCTAAATTCATTCTTTTTGCCTGACAATTTTGGCCGCATAGAAAACAATGGTGTTGCGCAGTTCCGACGTCAAACGGTACTTCAAGGAGCAATAGGCCAATACCCTAAACAGTACCAAGTAGGCCAGAATAATATAAAACTGAATCTTGTAGTCTTCTTCCAGCATACCCATGTCTTTCAATAATGCCTATAAATTTGTTTTAATTATTACAATATATTGAATTATTAGATATTTACCTCTGGATTTTTATAATGACAATAAACAATATCCTCTGGACAATTCATAAGCTCTCTGTTTTTAAATAGAGCTGTACTAAGGCCTACAACTCCAAACCTCAAATAGCTAAAACTTATAATGACCTTCATTACTGGCTCTATTGCAGCTCTATATCCCATTCCATAACATGCCAAAGCTAATAGAGGCGCCAGAGCTGAAGAACCAACAACAGAACCATTCTAAATTAATTATACAATTATATAATTTGTATGTATATAATTGGTACTTACAGTTATGCTAAAAATTGAGCCGATAAAGTAGCCAAGGCCTTGTGAGGTGAGGCCTACAACAATACTCAAAGCAGAGAACCACAAAAACCTGTCCAAATCTAGGGGTTGATTAGTTAAAAAATACACAATTACAAGGAACATTATGCTGCATAAAATCATCAAAGGCAAAGAGGCAATTGTAAATGCCATATAATAGGCCTTTAGACTGTACCATCTATTGAAATATTCACGTTTCATTAGTTTTACTTCAATAGGAACTAAAAAACAAAGATGTTTTTTTCAATATATTTTGCTCACAAATCATTACTTACAAACAAGTACAGGTACCATTACATAAGTGTACATAAAGAACACATTAACGCTGATTATGTACTTGAAAATAGCCATGGTTTGGCTGGCGTCGTTTCCCAATTTGAAAAAGATGCCTCCTATTAAAAGGCCGGAGCATAAATGGTGGATTATCTGGATGAGCATTACGCTGCGGTGGCGGAGCATTTGCAAGTAGGTTCTGGATAGGAGGATGATGAGTTGGCCCCAAACTGATAGGGGGAAGATGATGTCTGCTTGGTCTGGATTGGAGTTGTCTATAATAGAGAAATATTGGGATTATTACAGGCTCTTGTTAAAAAAATCATAACTCTCTTATTTTGGATTTTTGTGGTATCAAATTTTGTTGGGTTAGAGTTGAAAGGTTCCTAAACACATAAAAAAATATTTGGTTCCATGAAGTTGATCAACTTTCCAGGAAACACACTGTAAATGGAAATGGAGGCTATAAGTCTTATATGCGTATTTCAAATTGAAAAAATCATAACTTTCTCAATATGGATTTTTATGTTATAAAATTTTGTTGGGTTAGAGTTGAAAGGTTCCTGAACACAGAAAAAAATATTTGGTTCCATGAAGTTGATCAGTTTTCCAGGAAAAACACTGTGAATGGACATGTAGGCCCTAAGTCTTATATGTGTCTTTCAGATTGGAAAAATCATAACTCTCTTATTTTGGATTTTTGTGTTATAAAATTTTGTTGGGTTAGAGTTGAAAGGTTCCTAAACACATAAAAAAATATTTGGTTCCATGAAGTTGATCAGTTTTCCAGGGAAAACACTGTGAATGGACATGTAGGCCATAAGTCTTATATGTGTATTTCAGATTGGAAAAATCATAAATCTCTTAATTTGGATTTTTGTGTTATGAAATTTTGTTGGGTGAGAGTTGAAAGGTTCCTGAACACAGAAAAAATATTTGGTTCCATGAAGTTGATCAGTTTTCCAGGAAAAACACTGTGAATGGACATGTAGGCCTTAAGTCTTATATGTGTCTTTCAGATTGGAAAAATCATAACTCTCTTATTTTGGATTTTTGTGTTATAAAATTTTGTTGGGTTAGAGTTTAAACGTTCCTAAACACATAAAAAAATATTTGGTTCCATATAGTTGATCAACTTTCCAGGAAACACACTGTAAATGGAAATGGAGGCTATAAGTCTTATATGTGTATTTCAGATTGGAAAAATCATAACTCTCTTATTTTGGATTTTTGTGTTATGAAATTTTGTTGGGTTAGAGTTGAAAGGTTCCTGAACACATAAAAAAATATTTGGTTCCATGAAGTTGATCAGTTTTCCAGGGAAAACACTGTGAATGGACATGTAGGCCATAAGTCTTATATGTGTATTTCAGATTGGAAAAATCATAACTCTCTTATTTTGGATTTTTGTGTTATGAAATTTTGTTGGGTTAGAGTTGAAAGGTTCCTAAACACATAAAAAAATATTTGGTTCCATGAAGTTGATCAACTTTCCAAGAAAAATACTGTAAATGGAGATGAAGGCCATAAGTCTTAAATGTGTTTTTCAGATTGAAAAAATCATAACTCTCTTATTTTGAATTTTTGTGTTATAAAATTTTATTGAGTTAGAGTTGAAAGGTTCCTAAACACATAAAAATATATTTGGTTCCATGAAGTTGATCAATTTTCCAGAGAAAACACTGTAAATGGAGATGAAGGCCATGAGTCCTAAATGTGTCTTTCAGATTTAAAAAATCAAGATGGTTCACCTCTCGATTCACACATACCCTTACTTGTAGCTACAGTAGCAATTTCCACAATTTCCTGTCCCATTGTCGACAACATTTCCTCCTTTCTAATCATCATATTGGTTTTACCATTTTGTATAATACTCGTCATCAAATTTATAGATTCTGGATGCGATTGGATTATTTCAATGACTAAAATTGTAAAATTATATGTTTGCTCAACCTAAAAATTTTTATTTTTACCATAATCGGCCGGAGTGTAAGTAGAAGGACACGGGAAATTGGCTTGAGCCAAAAAAGGCACCAACTTTTCAGGTGATCCATTGTAAACGCAGTTTCCTTTTGCCAATACGTAAACCTATAAAATTTTATATATAGAAAAACAACCTTGATTAATAATTATTTGAAAATTATAAAAGATTTTTATAGGTTTTCAATGTTAATATAATGGAAATAATTTCCTTCCTGGTCAAAGTATGGTATATTAATTAATAAATATTTAAATTAATATAGCAATTACCTGGTCAAAATTTTGAAACAACGACGCAGGAGGTTGGTGTATGGTACAAATCACAGTCCTGTCCAATTTGGTAATTTTCTTAAGCAATTCTATGCATTGTTTGATGGCTACATTATCCAATCCACTTAAAAAATAATGTATGAATAATATATATGAAGATTGTTTATAAATAATTACGTTGTTGGTTCATCCAAAAAAATCACAGGCGGATTGTTAACTAACTCCAAAGCTACTGCAAGTCGTCTTCTTTGTCCCCCAGACAAAAACTCGCTTCGTGTTTTGTAGCACTTTTCCAACCCTAGAAGCTGGATTACTTCAAGCACAACTTCTTCTTTTGCAGATTGGCCGATTTCGGGTCCAAGTTTCAATCTGGCTGCAAACATCATGGATTCTTCAACGGTAAGTCTCGGTTGGATCATGTCCTCTTGCATTATGTAGGCGGAGATTTTGTTAAATTGTTTCATTTGGCGTGGACGGTCGTTGATTTTGATCATGCCTTTTACTCCTGCCGTTCTACAAATAAATCGATTATTTTTCCTTGTTTGTTCAATATTGAAGTTACCTTCACCTAACAAATAAATTGCTAATTTACGGTATTGTTTCGCAATTTATCTCTGGGCAAATAATAATGGGCGAAGCATTGCAACATGGTCATCATCATAACGTGCCCATTTTCTGTTTTGTTTGAATTTGTTTCAGTGTTAGGAATTTTTGTTCGGTTATAGGAATTTAATTGCACATTATATACAAAATTTTTGTCCAAATTTTCAGCTCTAAAATTTTTTTGAAATTTTGACACGCTCATGAATAATTGCTGATATCTTCAATTATATTTGAGTAAAATAGTAATAACTATGTATCATTGGAAAGAGCATAAAATTCTCTATAAACCAGTGCAAAATTGGGCTTTGTAACTTGTATAGTTTTCGAGATATTGAGCCTCAAAGTTGAAATTTAGTCTTCATTTTGTTTAAAACTTCAAACTCGATTTTCTCAAAAACTATAAATGGTAGCGATTTCAAATAAATGCCATCTAAAAGCCCTTATCAAGAGCTACAAGTACTGAAAATTTTGTCCCAGTACCGCTTTTGGTTACCGAGATATCCAGCTTTGAACATTTGAAAATTAAAATCCAAAGGGGTTAGCCTTAGAAAAAAGTGCAAAAAATTGAAAATTTTTATTTTTGGATTTTTCCTAATTTTGACTCCAGAAATCGATAGAGCGGGTCCAAATTAGTCAAAACCAACTCTGACATCAGGTAAATTTAGAGATTTTGATGAGAAAAAAAATCCAAAAGGAAATCTTATTTTTGGCTCTAAAAATTTTTTAAAATCTTGGGACGCTCCTGAATAATTGTTGATATCTTCAATTATATTTGAGTAAAATAGTAATAACTATGTATCATTGGAAAGAACATTAAATTCTCTATAAACCAGTGCAAAATTGGGCTTTGTAACTTGTATAGTTTTCGAGATATTGAGCCTCAAAGTTGAAATTTAGTCTACATTTTGTTTAAAACTTCAAATTCGATTTTCTCAAAAACTATAAATGGTAGCGATTTCAAATAAATACCATCTAAAAGCCCTTATCAAGAGCTACAAGTACTGAAAATTTTGTCCCAGTACCGCTTCTGGTTACCGAGATATCCAGCTTTGAACATTTGAAAATTAAAATCCAAAGGGGGTTACCCTTAGAAAAAAGTGCAAAAAATTGAAAATTTTTATTTTTGGATTTTTCTTAATTTTGACTTCAGAAATCGATAGAGCGGGTCAAAATTAGTCAGAAACAACTCTAATATCAATTAAATTTAGAGATTTTGATGAGAAAAAAAAAATCCGAAAGGAAATCTCATTTTTGGCTCTAAAAATTTTTTAAAATCTTGACACGCTCATGAATAATTGCTCATATTTTCAATTATATTTGGGTAAAGTAGTGATAACTATGCATCATTCGAAAGAGCATAAAATTCTCTATAAACCCGTGCAAAATTGAGCTTTGTAGCTTGTAGAGTTTTGAAGATATTGAGCCTCAAAGTTGAAATTTAGTCTAGATTTTGTCTAAAACTTCAAACTTGATTTTCTCAAAAACTATAAATGGTAGCGATTTCAATTAGATACCATGTAAAACCCCCCATTAAGAGCTACAAGTACTGAAAATGTTGTCCCAGTACCGCTATTGGTTACCGAGATATCCAGCTTTGAAGATTTGAAAATTAAAATCCAAAGGGGTTACCCTTAGAAAAAAGTGCAAAAAATTGAAAATTTTTATTTTTAGATTTTTCTTAATTTTGACTTCAGAAATCGATAGAGCGGGTCAAAATTAGTCAGAAACAACTCTAATATCAATTAAATTTAGAGATTTCAATGAGCAAAAAAAAATCCGAAAGGAAATCTCATTTTTGGCTCTAAAAATTTTTCGAAATTTTGACACGCTCATAAATAATTGCTGATATCTTCAATTATATTTGAGTAAAGTAGTAATAACTATACATCATTGGAAAGAGCATAAAATTCTCTATAAACCAGTGCAAAATTGGGCTTTGCAACTTGTATAGTTTTCGAGATATTGAGCCTCAAAGTTGAAATTTAGTCTACATTTTGTTTAAAACTTCAAACTCGATTTTCTCAAAAACTATAAATGGTAGCGATTTCAAATAAATACCATCTAAAAGCCCTTATCAAGAGCTACAAGTACTGACAATTTTGTCCCAGTACCGCTTCTGGTTACCGAGATATCCAGCTTTGAAGATTTGAAAATTAAAATCCAAAGGGGTTACCCTTAGAAAAAAGTGCAAAAAATTGAAAATTTTTATTTTTAGATTTTTCTTAATTTTGACTTCAGAAATCGATAGAGCGGGTCAAAATTAGTCAGAAACAACTCTAATATCAATTAAATTTAGAGATTTCAATGAGCAAAAAAAAATCCGAAAGGAAATCTCATTTTTGGCTCTAAAAATTTTTCGAAATTTTGACACGCTCATAAATAATTGCTGATATCTTCAATTATATTTGAGTAAAGTAGTAATAACTATACATCATTGGAAAGAGCATAAAATTCTCTATAAACCTATGCAAAATTGAGCTTTGTAGCTTGTAGAGTTTTGAAGATATTGTGCCTCAAAGTTGAAATTTAGTCTACATTTTGTTTAAAACTTCAAACTCGATTTTCTCAAAAACTATAAATGGTAGCGATTTCAAATAAATACCATCTAAAAGCCCTTATCAAGAGCTACAAGTACTGACAATTTTGTCCCAGTACCGCTTCTGGTTACCGAGATATCCAGCTTTGAACATTTGAAAATTAAAATCCAAAGGGGTTACCCTTAGAAAAAAGTGCAAAAAATTGAAAATTTTTATTTTTAGATTTTTCTTAATTTTGACTTCAGAAATCGATAGAGCGGGTCAAAATTAGTCAGAAACAACTCTAATATCAATTAAATTTAGAGATTTCAATGAGCAAAAAAAAATCCGAAAGGAAATCTCATTTTTGGCTCTAAAAATTTTTCGAAATTTTGACACGCTCATAAATAATTGCTGATATCTTCAATTATATTTGAGTAAAGTAGTAATAACTATACATCATTGGAAAGAGCATAAAATTCTCTATAAACCTATGCAAAATTGAGCTTTGTAGCTTGTAGAGTTTTGAAGATATTGTGCCTCAAAGTTGAAATTTAGTCTACATTTTGTTTAAAACTTCAAACTCGATTTTCTCAAAAACTATAAATGGTAGCGATTTCAAATAAATACCATCTAAAAGCCCTTATCAAGAGCTACAAGTACTGACAATTTTGTCCCAGTACCGCTTCTGGTTACCGAGATATCCAGCTTTGAACATTTGAAAATTAAAATCCAAAGGGGTTACCCTTAGAAAAAAGTGCAAAAAATTGAAAATTTTTATTTTTAGATTTTTCTTAATTTTGACTTCAGAAATCGATAGAGCGGGTCAAAATTAGTCAGAAACAACTCTAATATCAATTAAATTTAGAGATTTTGATGAGAAAAAAAAAATCCGAAAGGAAATCTCATTTTTGGCTCTAAAAATTTTTCGAAATTTTGACACGCTCATAAATAATTGCTGATATGTTCAATTATATTTGAGTAAAGTAGTAATAACTATACATCATTGGAAAGAGCATAAAATTCTCTATAAACCTATGCAAAATTGAGCTTTGTAGCTTGTAGAGTTTTAAAGATATTGTGCCTCAAAGTTGAAATTTAGTCTAGATTTTGTCTAAAACTTCAAACTTGATTTTCTCAAAAACTATAAATGGTAGCGATTTCAATTAGATACCATGTAAAAGCCCTCATCAAGAGCTACAAGTACTGAAAATGTTGTCCCAGTACCGCTATTGGTTACCGAGATATCCAGCTTTGAAGATTTGAAAATTAAAATCCAAAGGGGTTACCCTTAGAAAAAAGTGCAAAAAATTGAAAATTTTTATTTTTAGATTTTTCTTAATTTTGACTTCAGAAATCGATAGAGCGGGTCAAAATTAGTCAGAAACAACTCTAATATCAATTAAATTTAGAGATTTTGATGAGAAAAAAAAAATCCGAAAGGAAATCTCATTTTTGGCTCTAAAATTTTTTTGAAATCTTGACATGCTCATGAATAATTGCTGATATCTTCAATTATATTTCAGTAAAGTAGTAATAACTATACATCATTGGAAAGAGCATAAAATTCTCTATAAACCAGTGCAAAATTGGGCTTTGTAACTTGTATAGTTTTCGAGATATTGAGCCTCAAAGTTGAAATTTAGTCTTCATTTTGTTTAAAACTTCAAACTGGATTTTCTCAAAAACTATAAATGGTAGCGATTTCAAATAAATGCCATCTAAAAGCCCTTATCAAGAGCTACAAGTACTGAAAATTTTGTCCCAGTACCGCTTTTGGTTACCGAGATATCCAGCTTTGAACATTTGAAAATTAAAATCCAAAGGGGTTACCCTTAGAAAAAAATGCAAAAAATTAAAAATTTTTATTTTTGGATTTTTCTTAATTTTGACTTCAGAAATCGATAGAGCGGGTCAAAATTAGTCAGAAACAACTCTAATATCAATTAAATTTAGAGATTTTGATGAGAAAAAAAAAATCCGAAAGGAAATCTCATTTTTGGCTCTAAAATTTTTTTGAAATCTTGACATGCTCATGAATAATTGCTGATATCTTCAATTATATTTCAGTAAAGTAGTAATAACTATACATCATTGGAAAGAGCATAAAATTCTCTATAAACCAGTGCAAAATTGGGCTTTGTAACTTGTATAGTTTTCGAGATATTGAGCCTCAAAGTTGAAATTTAGTCTTCATTTTGTTTAAAACTTCAAACTGGATTTTCTCAAAAACTATAAATGGTAGCGATTTCAAATAAATGCCATCTAAAAGCCCTTATCAAGAGCTACAAGTACTGAAAATTTTGTCCCAGTACCGCTTCTGGTTACCGAGATATCCAGCTTTGAACATTTGAAAATTAAAATCCAAAGGGGTTACCCTTAGAAAAAAATGCA